ATCTATCTATCTATCTATCTATCTATCTATCTATCTATCTATCTATCCTGACCATCTATTTGTCTATCTATCCATCTATCTATCCTGGCCATCTATTTCTCTCTCTTTCTCTCTCTCTTTCTCCTATTTGTCTATATATCCATCCATCCATCCATCTATCTATCTATTTATATTTTGCACTTAAAAGAATACAACATTATTCTATTTCAGTGTCTTTATATCTCTTAAGTGAAGCTTCCCAAAATTGGGTGATCCCAATTAGAGATAAATAAAATATAAATTCATTACAAATTACAAATGAATTCTCCAAGCTGCCTAATAACAATAATAGCTAATATTTATATAGCATTTTGAGGTTTGTAAAGCACTTTAAAATGTTATTTTATTTTATCCTCAAAACAACCCTGGAAGGTAAGTGCCAGTATGACAGTGTCCCCATTTTATAGATAAGAAACTTAAGCACACAGCGGTTAAGTGACCTGCCCACAGTCACATGGAAAGTATGTGAGTCTGGATTTGAACTCAAATCTTCATGATTCTAGGTCCAGTGCCCTATCCACTGTGCCACCTAGCTATCATAATTAAAATTCATACAAAGGGGAAAAATGTAATTTTTATTTTTTTGTCTAAAGCGAAAGTCTCACAAATTGTCACATACACACACACGCACACACACACACACACACACACACACACACATGAGAAAAGTTTCACTTACTTTAACTTCCACAATCTTTCCTCCATGGTCAATGTGTCTCTCCAGGTATTCAGATGACAGCAAGTCACTGAAATAAGGGAATAGCAAGATGAATATAGGTGCTGCTAGAAATCTATAAAGTCTACGTCTGTCTTTTCAACAAATTCTCTGTTAACAATTTCTCCACCCAAATTTTAAATGTTGACTTTTGATAGGCAGCAGAGACAGGGCTGGAAGCATGCAGAGACTTACAGTACTCCTAAAACAACTACTTCTGGCACACACAAAAATCCTTCTTCCTGTCCTTTTCCTTTAAATATTTTGGGTCAAAATTAATTCATTCTAAAAGCCTTTAAGTGCTTGCTATGTGCAGTGCACTGCTCTAGGCACCATGATGAATAAACCAAGGAAACTGGCCTCTATAACTTTACCATCTCATAAAAGGGGAGGATGTACATTTTAGGACACATTAGACAAATACACACATTAGACAAATTAAATATGATAAAATGCAGAAGAGGAGTATAAAGTGCTACGAGATTATTTGAAGAAGTCACTGACAGATGAAGAAATTAGTGGCTGAATGAATCTGGCCTTTGGGCTAGATGGGAAGGATGGGAAAGGCAGAAAAAATCAAGGAGCAGAAGAAGGAAAAGACATTCTAAGTACAGAGACCAGTATGAACAAACATTCAAAGTGCCTGACAAGTTATGGGGACAGTAAACTTGACTAAAGCATAGAGTCCATGAGAATGACAATACTTTCACACATTGCTTCACCCATCACATTTGTGTCCCATGATTTAATCTAGCAAAACTTGAAACACAGACTATATTACTCCCCTACTCAAAATGTTCAATAGCTCCCTAATGCCTTTAGGATAAAACATAAGGCTCAGATTCCTAAAATCCAGCCACTGCTGGGATTCTTATAATTTAGCCAATAGGCCAATAGTTTACTAATGTTCAGACTCCTTAAGAGTCTGCCCAATATGACAGATGTTCTAATAAACCTTGTCTTTGGCTGAAAGAAGGCTTGGGTCGAATTCTTTCGGGCAGGACCCGCGTGTTGTGATTTTGGGGTCCCAGGACTCATGAACCCCTAAACTGCATCAGTTGGACAATGACTTCTGTGTCTGTCCCACAATTTGATAAGTTACTAATGCAGTGTGATCCCCCAAATTTGGTAAACAACTACTAACATATGTATGTCCCCAAATTGATGAATAACTTTTAATGATTTGAATCCCAAATCTGATAAATCACTGATAAACACCAATTTAGTTAGAAAAACTAAAGCTTTGATTGGTAGTTTCCTTTGCCAGTGGAGCCCAAGCTGAGTCATGATTATAGGATTGTGGTTTTAGGACAGAAAGGAACTTTTGGTATCATCTAATCCAACCTCCTCATTTTATAGATGGGGAAATTACGCATAGTGAAATTTAATGACTTGATCAAGATCATATAGGTATGTGGCAAGTAGCTGAGCTGGAATTTATACTCAAGCCACCAGACTTCTACTCTAGGCCTTTTTCCCCTACATCATAATCACATTGCCCCTACACCTTGACACCATTGAGATTCAAATACAGTGGTCAATGAGAAGCCCATTATCTCAAGTATCACTTAAAGCCACTTTAGGAGACAATGAGATTGAAGCAGTCTGGTCAATGAAATACAGAAACTACCCCCCCCCACACACACACAGAATGCACAATGGAATAATAATTATAATAATAAATAATGCCCCCCCCAAAAAAGGATAAAATATAAGATCTTTGGCCTGGCATTTAAAGCCCTCCACAATCTAATCCCTCCCACCCCTCACGTTTCCAGCTTTATTTTTGTTGAACATTTTATTACTCTTAATGTTCAAAAATATTTAGCTTTTGTTAAGGGATCAACTGTTGGAGTTCAATAAAAAGCATCTCAGCCCAATTTATTGTCATAAAGGTGCCTCAACTCTTTTTTCACAACCAGCTCCTTCTTTATTTTATCATTAGGCACCACTTGGCCAGAGGGAATTCTCTTTCCTAGGTAGCTAAGTTTGAGGAGGAAGAAACATTCTACCCAATATTCTAGCTAACTGGCATTCTAATTGGACAGCTAGGCCTACTGACTTTGACAAGCTCTTCAGTTACTTATGCTAATTTGCCTTATTTATCATTCTTCCTCCACTATGATTTAAATGCTATTCTAATCTATCTCTAAGCATCCTGTCCTTCTTCCCTAATCCTCATGACCCTGAAATACCACATAAGACACAAACCTCTTCTTTCTTCTACTCCCCCATTCTCATCCCTAACCAACTGTACCTCTCATTAGTGCCATTTTGTCTTTTCCTGTCCGTTTTCTAGCCCGGGGGTGGGGAATCTGCGACCTTAAGGCCACATGTGGCCTTAAGGCTGCAGATTGCCCATCCCTGTTAGCCCCTCTAAGTCTGTCCTTCAGAACTTCTGTTCCATTATAGTCCTCAAATTCCCTTACATCTAATCTTTTCCTCAAGAACTTCTCCAATGAACAGAAAACTGGCTTTCCTGTGGGAAGACCACATCCATAACGACCCTCTCCCTTTACTGAATCAATCTGACCACCACATCCACCCAGTAGGGTGGCCATATCTTAATTCTCACCATCACACAGAGCTGTTCCAAGGTCCCAACCTCTAGAATTTCTAACTCTGACCAAAATTTCCTGTCTTTTCATCTCCTTCTGTGACTATACTGCTGCTGAATCTGTTCTCATCTTGACTGCTGTCTACTGCCTACGCTATCACCCTTGTTATAATTTCACTTGCCTCCCTGCCAACACCAAGGTTGGTCTGACTTCTATCATCTTTCACTATACACTAGCCACATTTCTAGATCGTTGAAAGTAGAGATGATGGGGTGCTTGGGTGCTTGTGCTTGTACTTGGACCCCAATTTCTCCCTAGCCTCAGAAGCAGTCTCTGACAACCACTCCCCAGCCCAAGGACACTGCCTAGCAGTTATTCATGTATGGGCCTCAGCACGACCCTTATCTCTCTCCCTGGTGCAGCTACACAAAGCTGGGTGAGAGAGTGCTGGGCTGCTCAGGCCCCAGCCCTCAGATCATGTCTCTGGAAACCTCCCAATTTCTTAGTAAGTTCCTGTCTTATGAGAAAGCTTTCTCTTGTTGCAGAGCATTCTCTCATCAAGACAGAGGGAGAGGGGTGCCTTGCCCAGCCCAAGGAGTTTTGTCCTTGGCCAGCCCAAGGACTCTTCCTCCTGCCAGACTTCAAAGATCCATACCTCTGTTATCTCCCTCCCTGTCCGGTATACTCCCTGTACTTTCCCATCCATAGCTCCCAAAGACACCTGGACCTTTGGATTACCTCATCAGTGTCCCTGGCATTCCTTTCCCATGCCCGTTTCCATATAAACCCTAGCTCTATCCTCAGTCTCTTGCAGGTTCCTTAAGAATCCTTGCCC